ATCATTCCGGTGCCTGGAAAAAAAAAATTATGCGCGGTCAAAGGTTAAAAATCCCGAAAAAAATGTTTTTTGAGATTTTCCGCAAAACGGTAAGTTCTATCATAAAATTACTTCAGACAAAAATTATAAACCATACAATTCTCTATAAAAAATGTATCAATACTTTTTCTCTTTAGAGCCACTGTTTCTGAGATAAAACAAGTCAAAAAGTTGTAATCGTCATAATATTCACAAGTTTCCACGCCCCGTATGAGGTAGTGTACTTAGCGCGTTTTTTAACGTGGTTTCCCCAGTAAGCCTATTCCACATGTCTATTGTGATTCTGTTTAATTGAAAACTATTGAAGAGAATAAAAAATATTAGTAAGGATTGGAAATTATAAAAGCGATGGAAACAAAAAAAAATAGAAATTTACTAATCTGATTGATAACCTTCAAATTCTTCTTGATCTTTGTCTGGTTCGCTTTTTTCATCCTGGATGTAAGTAAATTGCATCAATAGTGATGTATCGCATATTTCTTCGTTGGTATCAAATGAATCCTCTACTATTGACTATTGGTGATTCAACATTAGAACATGACTGGTCTTGACAATTTGTACATGCCAGAAAATAAAACAGTCCAACTTTTTTACAACCACATTTAGCACTGCATCCTTTTTTACAGTTGCAAAAAATTGTGTTTAGCAGTTTTTCCCGCGCAGGTGGGAGTATAGTCTGAATTGGTACTAATGTATTGTCGACCAACTTTCAACCCCAGTCTTTTGGGTCTAACTGCCACACTTGAACTTGGTAATATACCCGGAAAAGATGTTGATGAGCAGCAACTGAGGTTGGAGAAAGACTAGCTAATTGCACTTGTTTTTTATTTCGAGTGTTTTTAACGAAACATGCACATCGATACTTAGAATATAATAAGTGAGAGGGGGGTTAATCTCTGCGACCTTAGAGATCTATTGTGTCCCCCTTTCTTGAGTTATAACTCATCATACAGTCCCAGGACTTCCTACGGAGACCCGTGTCCCTCACAGTCGAGGAGCTACGACCCAGGCCGGGTAGACGAAACGGTAGCTTGTGTCGCCCGTTGGGTTTAGAGGCAGGAGGTAGGCTCCCGACCCTTGGAGGAGGTGGTAGCTTGTATGCCACTTGCGAAGGATGGTCTCACGCAAGTGTCAGCCACCTCTCCTGTAGTTCTCTTTGGGTTTGGCCCCTTGGAACTTTCATTGTTACTGTTCCCAGTGTCGCTAGGGGGTTTCCCCACAGCTTCACCGGTGATGTTTTTATTACTATTATTACCAGATCTCATAGTGTTCCTATGAGTCGCTAGGGACAGTCGGTCCACTTCTACAGAGCCCCGCATGTAGAAGTTAGGGGTAAAATACAATGGGGTGCCCCAAGGTTGAGGCTGTCCGTAGCCCCGCCCGGAATCGTTATATGTCTTGGTGCAATTCCCTGACCACGACACTACAGTCAGAGACAAGACGATGAGTGAGATGCTTCTTAGACCAAGCCAAGTGCTAGGGGGGATTCCCCCCAGCACCTGACCAGGAGCTTTCCCACCAACGACAAGGTCTTGCATCTCCTAGGGGAAGCCATCGTTACTTATCTAAGCAGGTGGTTTTTCCGGAGCTCCGTATAGAAAGAAGAAAGCGAGTCCCGTAAGTTCCAAATTCTGTAATAATACGACTCTACTCCACAAGTTATCTTCTGATTTTTTGATCCTCACAAAGAGAAGGAGTCATCTACCAATCCAGAAGGAGACAACCAGTACTAATCAGAAGGTCAGGCACCTGCACTACCGACAAAATTAAGCAGAAAAATGGATGCTTTCTGTACTTTAGCGAGACGTGTTAGTCCCGGAAGAAGATTTTTTTTCTATCCTTACTCTGAAGAATTTGAACCAATAGGAATATACCACAATTCGTTTGAAATTAACTGTCAACTGGTACTTTCCGGTACTGAGTAGTACGCAAGTACCATATTAAAGAATCATATATTTTATATTTTTATTGTTAATCTAAGATTTTATATATGACAAGACTTAAGTTTCCCTAAATACTTAATGAAAATTGACAATCAGCGAAAGAGAAAAATACTTGATGAAAACTGGAATTTTATTTAACAGAAAAATGTAACCAGAATGCTTAATAAATAATTAGTTAATAATTATAAAAAATTAAACAATTAACGATAGCTTCACTGCCAACCATATTTACTGGTAACAGCGCCGTCTCCAACATCGAGACAAGACGTTAAATCGCACTCTCAAGCAATTTACGTTAAAATGTCAAGATTTGCAAATATGTTTAAAAACAAATACACATAAAACCTAAATATCCATATTTATATTAAATCAAACCAATTATTACTTAAATCATAATTATCTAAAAATATATTTATATTTCATACCTTAAGAAGATTCACGACAGATACAATTATTTACAACCAGAAGGTAAGTGTAAAAACACCGGTTTATTTATAGCTTTAAATTTATAACAATAACAAACATTTTAGGAATTATTTACCGATCGAATAAAAATATACTTATACGATATAATATTTCTAACTGTATTTAAAAAAAGGAACATATCCAGGAAAAATCATCTTGAATATATATTTTAATTTTACAAAGTTAAAAATAGAAAGGGAGGAAAACATTTTCCACTATACTTCGAAAATCAAGAATTTTTCTTCAACATAATATCTAAATTTAATAATATTTTTTTTAAGAAAATAGAGTGAATGTTATTTCTTTTCTTTTCCAATAAAAATTTATTTCATAATAACAATTAAATTTATAGAAAGTAACTGATACTTTATTTCTTTTTAACAGCTAGAAGTACAAAATATATCAAAGAAACCCTATTGAAAATATAAATACATATAATGAATAGAACCAAAGGATAAACAAGTGAGTATGCTCATAAACAAGCTGTATGCTCATAAACAAGCTGTATGCTCATAAACAACATCTTTCTCAGGCACATCTCACAAATTAAATGAGTTAAATGAGTAAAATATGTATAATTGTAAATGTAATCAAATGCGAATTCTATGAAAAATTATAATAATAAAAATAATATGCACAGCCGAAACAGCTTCACATAGAAACACGAAATTTGGAAATGCGTGCCTTAAGTGACGTATCTGAGCACTAAGAAGGAATTTTTGGAAATTCGGCCGCTAAGGGGCTGAAATTAGGGGGTTAATAGTGTAGCTATAAAAGTTTTTAAATCTGTCCTACATATAAATCTGTTCTATAATGCACAGCCGAAACTGCTTGACACATAAACACGAAATTTGGTAAATGCGTTCCTTAAGTGATGTATGTGTGCACTAAGAAGGAATTTTTGGAAATTCGGCCGCTAAGGGGCTGAAATTAGGGGGTTAATAGTGTAGGTATAAGTGTTTAAATCTATCCTACATATAAATCTGTTTTATAATGCACAGCCGAAACTGCTTGACATAGAAACACGAAATTTGGCAAATGCGTTCCTTAAGTGACGTATGTGAGCACTAAGAAGGAATTTTTGGAAATTCGGCCGCTAAGGGGCTGAAATTAGGGGGTTAATAGTGTAGGTATAAAAGTTTTTAAATCTATCCTACATATAAATCTGTTCTATAATGCACAGCCGAAAGTGCTTGACATAGAAACACGAAATTTGGCAAATGTGTTCCTTAAGTGATGTAAGTGAGCACTAAGAAGGGATTTTTGGAAATTCGGTCGCTAAGGGGTTGAAATTAGGGATAGAAAGCTGCATAAAAAGTTGTTAAAATCTGTTCTAGGAGTACGAAATTTTGCACAGAGGGCTCTTAAGCGGCGTAATTGAACACTAAGAAGCGTTTTTCGGAAATTCAACCTTTTAGGGGGCGAAACTGCCGAAACTAGGGGTGGAAGTTTGATTTGGTTTGGTTTTGTTAGTAGATTTTTTTAAATTTGTCGTAGGAGTATAAATTTTTTTGCAGAGATTCTTGTGACGAAAGTGGATACCTACTCGATTTTTGGAAATTTATCCCCGTCATACAATAAATTATAAATATTATATATTTATAATTTATTGTATGACATTTTGCACAGAGGTTTCTTGGGTGACATAATTCAGCACTGAGGAGCAATAGAGAAATAGGGGGTAAAACTGGTGGTGAAATTTTGTATATATTTTTTTAAAATTAGTCCTAGGAGTATGATATTTTGTATAGAGCTTTCTTAAGTGGCGAAAGTTGTTCAATCTGAGTACTTAGAAGCGGTTTCTTGGAAACTTACCTCCTAAGAGGGTGAAAGTTGTCTCAAAAATTTGTTAAAATGGGTTTTAGAAGTATGAAATTTTGCGTAGAAGTTCCTTAGGTAACGTAAAATAAAAAACGTGGGTACTAAGAATCTGTTTTTCAAAATATGTTAAGCAGGTGAAATTAGATACAAAGGTTGACAGCAGTTGACAAAATTGGCAGCAGTACCAAAATCAGTAAAAAGTAATCATAGTAATCAAAGTAACAAATATTTGAAATGATTACTTAGTACTTGAGTAACGATTAGTAACGAATAATCAAAAGTAACGAAAATCTACATCACTACTTAGAAAGCAATAGATATATAATTTAGGCTTTACGCCAGATAAGAAATTCGACGAAATTTTCATGTATAAATCCCAAATCAGATGACAAATCGTTTCCGGAATCAATAGAATTAATTAAATAATGAAAAAAAATTAATAATTTTTTTCTTAGGAAGAAGCATTAAATTTGATGGCTCAAATGCTCATTTTGGTGTGCACTTGTTGTGTAGCTTAGGATATTTAGTTTAAGTTTGGTTTAAGAAGTCTTGATAACTTGATAAAACTCTTCGAAATTTAGTCAGCTTAACTTTGAGTTAGTTATTAAAAAAAAAGTACGATAAATGTATACTGCACAAATCTGTACATTCTCTTAAGTACCAGTTAAATCTCAAGTTACTATCTTATCGTATTGCCCATTATAAATATTTTACTTATATACACATGCACGGTTAATGTTGATCAGTTGAGTCAGACTGTAGGTAGATACCGATAATACTATACTACGCTCTTCCCTACAAAATATTCAAAAATCATAATATAAAAACAAGTTGTATTCTATCTGTATTTATACTATGCCAGAACTAAAGTAAAGACAATCGCTGCATAATCTACGAGGATCCCTCAAACAGTTGAAGATGTTGAGTTACGATCCAAACCGTGATGAGTATATCGAGGTTGATTTTGATGAGTTTTCAGACAGTGATGATGATGTAGATGATCTGAATCCGACAGATACAGTGAGGTCACTGCAACCTCTTTTAGTGCTTATGAAGCATAGGAAAAGAAGGTAAGTAGCAATATTTTTGCAAGGCTTTATTTGTTTTAACAAAAATATGAATTTTTAAAAATCCCTAAACAATATAAGTTAGAATTTTAGTGAAAATATTGTTTAAATTGTTTGTAAACAGTAAAATTATCCAATAACCACTTAAAATCTCAAGATACTAAATTGACTACTAGTGTGTATGTCAATATTTCAAGCATAATATATTTTCGATACAAAATGTTTTCTAGATCTTTTAAATAATCTATTTTTTATGTCATGCCTACCTAATACTGAAAAGATTACTAATATTAGAAATACCTATATAATACGCACCTTCTAATTATTAATTTATGTTAATATTTATATTTAAACAATATTTTATAATATTTACTTTTACTTTTACTATCAACAATAAAACTATGAATAAAACAAATTGTAACATAACTCGGAGATATAATCTGTGATAAAAAATCTATTGAATCAAAAAGGAAGCTACTTAATTCTGATGCGATATATTTTCATTGATTAGTTATCAAGATATACAAAATTTGACATATTATTATGAACCTAGTAATTACGTGAGATACCGTATGATCGAAAAAAACGGCGTCAGCGATGGCTAGGAAATGAAGATCGCTGTCATTTTATATGGGAAATGTCATCGATGTTCATTTCATAGCCATCGCTGACGCCGTTCTTATTCGATCATACGGTATTTTATTTCATTTATTGATTTCATATTTTTATATTAAAAAAATAGGAGGAACGATATCGGGTTTTGCGATATAAAAAATCGGGTTTTGCGATAGAGAATTTAATGAAGTAAAAAGTATCTATGTGTTCTAGTGAGATACCTATAGTTGTATTTTATATTTATACCTATTTTCTTTTAATCAAAATATTTTAGGAAACAAAAATAAATTAATCAGAAATATATAAACAGTTATTATTTACATCAACAAAACTCACCTCCTTACCCAGACACCACATAATATCTTAAAGACGTATTTTTATATCTTAATTAGATCTTAACGCCTAAAGACTAAAATAAGACAACTTTTGGACATCATTTTAAAGATATTAATAAGATGACGAAATAAAACGCCTTTAGGACGTCTCTAAAATGACATTAGAAATTTTAAATTTATTTTTTTCTATTTATCTCGTTTTTTTTCTAGAGTAGGCGATAATCATAAAGAAGGAGAGTATAATCTGGTATAATATGACAGAAATATGGTATAATCTTAACAGAGATAAAAACATTATCCTGATTTAATTTATAGGCGCAAATATGACAATTGACAGGCGTGACAGTTATCTTCTGTGGTTGTGGTTGATGTTGATGTGAGGTTATGTGATCGAAAATCTCTCGGAAAATGTTTGTTCTTGTTGTTGTTGTAAGTTGTAAAAAGGCGCTCAGAGGGGCGTGATATAAAGTTTCATCAGAGAATTTACCAAAATTTCATCATTAAAGCTGATCAAAGAAGTTAAAGCTGATATTGTAGGTAAGCCAGGTCAGTTTAAAACATTTAGGTTGTTAGATATATTTGAACAATTATCTTATTTCTATGATTCATATTTTAGATGCGCATGATAACACATCTGAAGATGTCCCTCCAGTGGTTGGCCAAGAAGAAAATACCAAGACATAACGTTCGGTCAGATATATCACTATTATAAAATGTTAACTGTTCACTTCATATAAGTCAATGTAACATCTGAGAGAAACACGCTTAATTTAAAAATTAAAAACAATGCCAGTCCAAGAAGATGTTTTATTTTATAATTCACCATTGTCTCCCATTTTCATTCATATTAAAAGACATCTTAAGTACATTGTTAAAATATATCTTAAAGACATTGTACTCAAGACGTCTTAAAGATGTTATGTTTTTTAACATCAGACGTTGGTAAGATGCCTTTAATGCGTCTAAAGGCGAAGATAGACGTCTTTGAGATGTCAGTAATGTTGAAACAAGTTGTCTTATAGATGTCTTTAAAATGCCACTGTGCTGTCTGGGTAAGGGACATAAAGTGTCATTACTACCGCTTTCCCGTTCAAAACATTCTAATAAAGTTGCGATGATTATTTTTCAGCGCCTATTACCTAAAGCTATCTTTTACACTTCTACTAACTGCAAGTTCTGCCAGTAAGAATTTTTAAGCTTAATGTATCATAATATATAACAACATAATTCATCTAAACCAAAACTCGTAATATAAAACTAAAATGTCCATTCAAAACGAATGACAATGTCAGGAAATAAATAACTAAATGTGGCAACTTGACTTTTTTTACAGCAGAGCTACCACCTGAATCCCCTGTGGGAAATTTAAATTCCAGTTAGTCAGCCCAGCGTCTAATATGTCCATGGTTGCCAACAATGAATTTAAAAATTGCACTTTCCCATTTTGCAATGAAAAGTTTCAAATGTAGTTTCTTTACCCAGTTTATGCTTTATGAATTAGTTAAATAGAAAAAATGTGGTTCGTTTCCTGAATAACCTAAATAAAATTAAATAATCTAAATATAATTGTAAAAAGATAACAAGTATTTTTCAAAAACGTAAAACAACTCAATAAAAAGCAGCAGGGTGAAAAAAATGTCAAATATTATTTCTATGTTAAGCCTACATCCACAATCCACACTTTATTACTGCTTCGAATAACACACACTGTCAAATACGGTTTTCTTTTTCTTTTCTATTATTATATTGTCCGTTTTCACGCCTTTTTGACTTTTCATTATACAACGATATTTTTTGTCACCCTAGAGATTGGAAAGGATTTTTTATACAGAAAAAATAGTGGATTTGGCATAGAAAAAAAAATGAAGAAGTATTTTATAAGAACTGGACATCCAATTTTGTCATGTCACAGCTTCAGCTTTAAAAAAAAAACAAATATTTAACTTCTTTAGGAAATTAAAGAAAATATTTTTTAAATAATTATATTCTCAATAAAAGAATTACAAACGTAATGAATGTACTTCGGTAAATTATTAAAAATGTACTTTTAAACTTATAACTATACAGGGTGTGCCCTCAATATTCCGTGGATATAGAACTACTATACGTAAACTTTTCGAATCAAAATAAATTAAGTGGACACAATTTACTTCTATTATATATTTGAAAGTGATTCGTTTGTCCGTTAGAGCGGAACAATCAAAGATAATCCCAAGCGCCAACTCTAGCCCTTATGCAAGCTTCTATGCGCGCAGGCATGCTTCTTATTAAATTATCAACGTTGTGTTGAGGTATGTTTTCTCATTCTGCTAATGCTGCATCAATTAGCTGTACCAGATATCCTGGATTGTTTCGACGAGCTCTAACCTTTCTTTTGAGCTGGTCCCACAAGTGTTCAATAGGGTTTAGATCTGGTGAACATGCAGGCCACTCCAAAACTATGACACCTTTCGTTTCAAGACATTCTTTAGCCCCTCTGCTAGTATGGAGAGATGCGTTATTGTGCATGAAGTTAAAATTATCCCCAATTGCAGCTCTCTAAAGCTTAGCGATTGGTTCTAGCAATAAATCAACATACCTATCTCCGATCCGTTAAAGTCTATTGAAGTAGTAACAATATAGTTTTTACTCCTAGCATAATACCTCCCCAGAACATTACAGTTCCTCCTTTATATCTTGGTACAGGTTTGGCAGCTCGTCTTCCTGGAGCTCTAAGAACCCGAATTCTCGATGGTCATCTGATCTTAGGGCAATAATTTTGTCTCATCCGAAAAAAGAACATTTTGCCAATTCTCAGTTGTCCAGTTTTGATGTTAAAGGCACCAATTTAGGGGCTCATTTTATTTTACCGATATAACAGACCCGTAACTCTCTCCTACTGTACAACCCTGAAGCATGTAGCCCGTGTGTACAACCCACGTTCACACCTGTAGCTGCCAGAGGTTGTCTTTCTAGCTCTAGGTGAGAGACACTGGATTTTCTTCTAGCAAGTTGGTACACAAACCAGTCCTGTTGTTCAGTTGTGACTCTTTGTCGAGTTTGTCTGGGCGTGTTCTTGAGAGTTCATAGTTCCAAGTATCTTGCATGTATTCGATGCAACACCCTGGATAACGCCTACTATCTCTGCTACGTCTCTTTGAGGGATTCCTTGTGCAATGAGAGCGATAATTCTTCTCTTCGGTACATGTGTTAAGCCAACGTAAGGCATTTTTTTTATTTTTGGATTCTATATATATCAAAATTACCGGACAATCGTGATTTTACTACAGAATCGCAGCAGTCGTTTGGTTTAGGTTATGGTTCTTTATTATCATGTTTATATTTACAACAAAAAATCCTTATCTTTAAGTTGTATCCAAGTCTACGTGTATACCAATTTTATTCCTTGCAAAAAGTTCAAGTTTCTCAGTCAGAAATAAAGGGTGATTCCATAATATAAGTTTGGTTGTGTAAAAAAATTCTGCTAAAATTTATGTAGGGCGGGGGTAGTTTTCGCTCTTCCCGCATCCTTTTTGTATTTTGTCAAGTCAAATGTTATAGCGCTCAACAAACCTAGACATCCCAAATCTTCTTTAAACCGGAATATCGGTTAAAATACGTGTTTATTTTTTTTAAATTGGTGACCTCTAACGAACAAAGCACTGTATAGAAGTATATTTTGTTCAATTAACTTATTTTGATTTCAAAAATATAATCCAATAGTCCCAATGGACACGCCATGACAGTCATTGTCAAAAAATGTTCAGTTGTTATGATCTCTCATCGCCAATAATTGTATTGTAAAAAAAAGGTATTCAAAATAGATTATTCAGACGAGGAATCAATTAATATTATTTGATAAAAAATAAAAAATATTAAAAACAAACACACTAAAAATTATTTTTAAGCTAGATCATTAAAATTTGATTGAAAAAAACCTGTACATAAAACTGTACATACGCAAATATCTCTACACTACACTTTATAACATGTTCTATATGCAATACTCTTTTTGCCAGGAAATATCGTACAAGTCTGCTAAACCGCCTCTATCTAAGCCGCATCGTTCGAAAATCAGGCCGACTCAATACCTTCCTCACAAAGTTACCCAACAAAAACTTATCTTACATCAGAGACCTGGGCAACACAATACTCACCCTCAGGTGGCGCTGGATGCTACTAACCCTTTGCTTGGTCAACTTTGGCTGCTTCGTCGTGTTTAGCTGGCTGTGGATGTTGCTGGCCCAGGTCAGCGGTGATTTTGACAATTCAACAGTGTCAGACACACCCTGCATAGTAAACGCCAGAACCATGACAGGTATTTATTTTTTTTTATTTGGGCAAATTTAATAATAAAATTATATGTATATTTATTTTTAGGATATCTTCTTCTAAGTATAGAGACGATGACAACCATAGGTTACGGATATAGGTATCCTAGTGAACACTGTATAGGTGGATGGTTTCTTCTAATGATGCAGGCGATCTTTAACACTTTTGTCCAGGGCGCCTTGGTTAGTGCTGTCTATGCCAAGACCTCCAAACCATTTACAAAAGCCTCGTCATTGTTTAGTAAAAGAGCAGTGGTAAGAAATGAAACGTTTTAGAAACGACTTAGAAAAAATATACAGGGTGACTTAGTATTGCAAAAAAATGTACCAAAGTACGACATACATACCACGTGCGTCTCGAAAGTTACTCTAATTTTTTTAAAAATGTCCGATTAAATGAATATCTCCGAAACTAAAGTTCCAAAAAAATTCGTAATATATCTACAAATTCATTTACCCACTAGTAGTTATAAAAAGCATTTTTGGTAAACTCTGTCTCTAATAGTTTCTGCAAAATAAAATTAATTTTTTTAAAAATGTCCGATTAAATGCATATCTCCGAAACTAAAGTTCCAAAAAAATTCGTAATATATCTACAAATTCATTTACCCACTAGTAGTTATAAAAAGCATTTTTGGTAAACTCTGTCTCTAATAGTTTCTGAAAAATAAATTAATTTTTTTAAAAATGTCCGATTAAATGAATATCTCCGAAACTAAAGTTCCCAAAAAATTCGTAATATATCTAGAAATTCATTTACCCACTAGTAGTTATAAAAAGCATTTTTGATAAACTCTGTCCCTAATAGTTTCTGAAAAATAAAATTAATTTTTTTAAAAATGTCCGATTAAATCAATATCTCCGAAACTAAAGTTCCAAAAAAAATCGTAATATATCTAGAAATTCATTTACTCACTAGTAGTTATCTCTATAACTTTATCTATTATCTCTATAACTTATTTATTTTTTCAGATAAAAAAACGAGATTTGGTTTGGTTTGGTTATGTTAGTATATGACATTTCACCAGAAATGACAACTTTTCATTTTTAAATGGCACCTGCGGTATATTTCTACTTTATTCGGTAGAAAATGACACTCTAAATGGAATGACATATCATATGTCAACTTATGATATTCTTGCATATGGTTTATTTAAAATTGTTACATGCGGTTCATAATGACAATTTGACTCGAAATACCAAGTGTGTGGTACCAATTATTCGTAAAAAATGTTTTCCCAAATATGATAATGAGCCACCCCTTGTTTCTTTTGAAAAAATTGAGATATGATTAAAAATATGATTTGGGCATCTTTTAACCGGCCAGGACAAGACACGAAAAACATTAAACGATCAAATCTATTTTTCCCAGGCTCCTTGATTAAAAATTAGTGTTTTTAACACAGCCACGCTAGAGTGCCGTGAATGAATGATCGAAATTTAAAATACGATATTTTTTAAGCGAAAATGTCAAAAAGTTGACATATGTTAGTCATTCTATTAAGAGAGTTATTTTTATCGAATAAACTAAAAGTATACCGAGGGTGCCATTTAAAAATCGAAAAGTTGTAGTCATTGTCGGTGAAACGGGAAGTGACCAAAAACAATTACATACGTCAATCAATCCTAATTTATGTCATAAACTAACAATAATCTCAAATTTACTTCCAAACTCATACTAGGGTAGTGGTGAAGAAGTACGTTAAAAAATATAATTAACTACTTGATCTTTTTTGAAAAATGTATATCTCTTAAGAACAAAACCTCTACTTTAAGAAATAATTAATTTATATCGTATTTTAAGAGATCTATTTGAAACGAAATATACTCAGCTAATACTTAACGAAAATAAAAGAAACAATAATAAAAATAGTACAATTTTGTAATATAAGTTCGAATCTATTTTAAGACGTGTTATATTGTTACATCGTTTATGAGACGTTCTATTGTACCTCATTTCGATATTCTCGTCCAGGTATGTCTGCGAGACGGAAAATTGTGTTTCATTTTCCGAATACACGACTTTTCGAAGAAGATATGGTGCGGCACCAATATCTCACTCTATTTTATCGACAAGGAACAAACCGACTTGGACGGCGACTTCGAAATGCAACAGATGACGATCGAACCGCACGGCCTACTTATTTTTCCTTTGGAAATAGAACATGTCATTGAGGAAAACAGCCCGCTTTGGAAATTCAGGCCGTTTGAGTTCCTGCATGGAAGGTCCGTAAGGAAACTTTTACTTATTGTGATGTTATACATGTATAATATAGATTACATTCTGATCACTCACTAAGTTTAGTCTTTAGTCTTTACTGTTTTAATCTATACAAATAACAATACATATGTATATATATTTGATATCAATTAAACTTTTAGTTACGTAATCGAGGGCGCAATTTTTAAATTCATTGTTGGACATATTGACCTTGGACATATTTGGTGCCGGGCTGACTAACTGGAACTTAAATTTCGCCCTGGGGATTCAAGTGGCAGCTCTGCTGTAAAAAATGTCAAGTTGCTATATTTATTTATTTATTTCCTGACATTGTCATTCGTTTTGACACTTTAGTTTTGTATTACGAGTTTTTGGTTTAAATAAATAGTGTTGTGATACTTTAAGCTTAAAAATGTTTACTAGCAGACCTTGCAGTCGAACATTGTTCTTTTTAAAACCTTGTTTTAGTGCGAAGTGTACAAGATAGCCGTAAAAAACTCATCGCAACTTTATTAGAATATTTTGAGCAGGCAAGCAGTAGTAATGGTCCTTTATGTCCTCTAAGTGCTATTAGGAAGATGAGTTTTGTTGATGTAAATAATAACCGTTTATACAGGGTGTCCCAGAAATAAGTGCAAATATTTTAAGTGGTGGTAGATCTGGGCAAAAGAAACATATTTTCTCTTTACCATTTTTAAAATAAATTGAAAATAACGGAGTTATTTAACTTGAAAAATTAAAATATAATGGCAACATCTTGAGAACCGCCGGCAGATACACCATCCAATTATCCCGAATCCGTGCCCTGTGTTGCCGTATAGTCAAAAGAGTATACGCAATAGAATAATAATATATAAATCAGAAAATTGCACCAAGATGCATTTCATTTTTAAGATGGTGGTATTATTACACAAAATAAATTAAACTGCAAAAACTTGAAGAAAGAGATGAAGTTCAAATATTTAGGCATAGAAATCTCAGGATATGGTGATGTAGAAGCGGAGGTGCGAGAACGGACAACAAAGGTAACCAGAATAGCAGGATGCCTGAATGACACAATATGGCGAAATAAAAACATTGAGGTGGTAACTAAAGCGAGAATTTACAAGGCAACGGTACGACCAATAATGGCATACACTGCAGAAACTCGACCTGATACAGCGAAAACTAAACAACTACTGAGACAACCGAAATGAGAGCACTACGCAGAATAGCTGGAAAGACGCTTCTGGACAGGGAGAGAAATGAAAGTATAAGAAGAGCTTGCAAGGTGGAAAATGTAAATGACTGGGTACTCAGCAAAAAGGAAGAATGGAACGACCATATCAGCAGAATGGACAACAGAAGGATAGTGAGAGTTGCATGCGACAAATCACCGCTAGGTCGCAGAAGCTTAGGACGAACCCAGAAGCTTAGGAAAACGATGGAGCGACAACTTGTCAGTCTGACCGGTAGAGACGACGAAACCAAACAGGCGATTCGCTTAGAATAAAGAAGGAAGAAGAAGTAAAGAAATCTCAAGTGAATAAAGAAGTGGCACTAAAAGTTTTTTAAATTTCCCGAAAAATGTCAAAGAAAATTTTAAAA